ATTGATTGAGCATTTTCCAAGTGAGTAGCAATCAGATGGACAATTTATAACAAAGCATTTTTGCACAACTGTTCACTTTTCCTGCACAGGTGTATGCAGAATAATACACAACATTATTTCTACTGCGTAATAAAAATGTTAAAGAATAAAACCAGCCTGCTCTTAATGATTGACCCAAAGGTAGAAAGACATGGATTACAGCTAGAGAGTTGATTCTAGAGCAGCATCAAGTCATAGTACTAGCAGAACATATATTTGTTCAGCTTCCTAACATGTCTACACCATATGGCCAAAATTATGTGAACAACCCTCTAAATTTTTGAGTTCAGGTGTTTCCAATGAGAGTTACAGTAAACAAAATAGATTTTATATAATTGTGCGCATCCAACCTTGTGGCACCAGTTTGGAGAAGTCCTTTTTTTCTGTTTTAGTATGGTTGTGCCTCAAAGTCAGCTCCTTAAAAACATGGTTTGACAAATTTGGTGTGGAGGAACTTGAGTGGTCTGCACAGAGCTGGGACTTCAACCTACTGAACATCTTTGGAACACCTTTAATGAGCTAGGCTCTTGTCCAATAGCAGTAACTGACCCCACAAATGCTCTTTTTGCTGGATGGGCAAAAGATTCCCACAGACACACTCCAAAATCTTGCGTAAAGCTTTCCCAAAAGAGTTGAGGCTGTTAAAGCCCCAAAGGGAGGGCCAACACTATAATAATAAACAAAGATTTGGAATGGGAGAGTGACAAGGACACTTTACAGTACTAGTATGAGAATTTGAGGTTAGTGTGGGATATACCGTTGTGTTCAAAATAATAGCAGTGTTTTGAAAAAAGTGAATAAAGCTCAAAATCCTTCTAATAGCTTTTATTTCCGTACACACAAATGCATTGGGAACACTACACATTCTATTCCAAATCAAAACAAGAAGAAAAATATATCAAATTTGTGTTGTTCCTCTAGAAAAATTGAAAAAAAGTGAATATTAGACTGTTCAAAAAAATAGCAGTGTTTGTATTCTTCTTTACAAACTCAAACATTCACTATATAAACTGAAAAATGTTTGAAGATTTTGCTTTCCTTTGAGACACTTAATGAATATTTAGTTGTATAAGCACTGTTTCTGAGAACTGCTGTACATCTGTGTTGTATGGAGTCAACCAACTTCTGGCACCTGTGAACAGGTATTCCAGCCCAGGATGATTGGACTACATTCCACAGTTCTCTATTTCTTGGTTTTGCCTCAGAGACTGCATTTGTTATGTTACCCCACAAGTTTTCTATTGGATTAAGATCCAGGGATTGGGCTGGCCACTCCATAATGTCAATCTTGTTGGTCTGGCACCAAGATGTTGCATGTTTACTGGGTGTGTTTGGGGTTGTTGTCTTGTTGGAACACCCATTTCAAGGGCATTTCCTCTTCAGCATAAGGCAGCATGACCTCTTCAAGTATTCTGATGTATTCAAACTGATCCATGATCCCTGGTATGCGATAAATAGGCCCAACACCGCAGTATGAGAAACATCCCCATATCATGATGCTTGCACAACCATGCTTCACTGTCTTCACAGTGTACTGTGGCTTGAATTCAGTGTTTGGGGGTCGTCTGACAAACTGTCTCCGGCCACTAGACCCAAAAAAGAACAATCTTACTTTCATCAGTCCACAAAATGTTGCGCCATTTCTCTTTAGGCCAGTCAATGTGCTCTTTGGCAAATTGCAACCTCTTCAGCACATGTCTTTTTTTCAAACAGTGGGACTTTGCGGGGGCTTCTTGCAGATAGCTTGGCTTCACATAGGTGTCTTCTAATTGTAACAGTACTCATAGGTAACTTTAGACCTTCTTTGATCTTCCTGAAGCTGATTGTTGGCCGAGTCCTTGCCATTTTGGCTATTCTTCTATCCATTCAAATGGTAGTTTTTCGCTTTATTCCACGTCTTTCAGGTTTTGGTTGCCATTTTAAAGCATTTGCGATCATTTCAGCTGAGCAGCCTATCATTTTCTGCACTTCTTTATAGGTTTTCCCCTCTCCAATCAACTTTTTAATCAAGGTATGCTGTTCTTCTGAACAATGTCTGGAACGACCCATTTTCCTCAGAATTTCAGAGAGAAATGCACTGTAACCAGCATGTACAACATTTGCTGCCTTCCTTCCTTAAATAAGGGCAATAATTGCCACCTGTTTTTCAAAGAATGAATGACCTCACTAATAGAACTCCACACTGCTATTATTTTGAACATGCCCCTTTCAATTAGTGATTCAATTACACAGAATCAGCAGCATGCATGTCATGACTGTTGGGTCTGTTGGATTTCTATTACTCTACTACACCTGCTAGTAAATTATTTGCCATGTAGAAATATCATTTCTACCAAAAACAGTGATTGATCAGGTTAGTGATGTCTGACTGCTATTATTTTGAACACAACTGTATAATGCTCTCTTGCATTTGTATGTTTATATAACAATGTGTCAGGAACAATAAATGTCCATAGGGTAATAGACATTGGAGCTGAACTCCAGACAAACCGCTTAACAAACAGTAAGGACTTGTTCACACCATACGTGTATAAAAACAGATGGGAAAACTGAGCAGTTTACATCAGTTTTCATACGTGTTTCAGTGAGTTTTATACAAGTTGCAGATTCCTGTACAGAAAAAAAATCTGCAGATGATAGTTGTGGTGTGAATAGGACACAGAGAACAAGTGATTTCTTTGTGCCCTTGCAGAACGCGTGCAGAAAAACTCAAGTCTCTGCACATTGGTGTGAATGAGGCCTAAAGATATCTGAAATGTCATATATGCCAAAATATTTCTAATTTTGTTGGACAGTTTTATGGTTTACACATCTGCCACACTCCACAGCCAGTAGGGGAGTATTACTACACTGCTCAAAAAAATTTAAAGAACACTTTTTAATTAGAGTATAGCATAAAGTCAATTAAACTCATGGAATATTGATCTGGTCAGTTAGGTAGCAGAGGGGGTTGTTAATCAGTTTCAGCTGCTTTGATGTTAATGAAATTAACAAAAGGTGCACTACATGGGCAACAATCAGGCAACTCTCAAAACTGGAATGGTGGAGGCCACCAACATTTTCCCTACTCCTATATTCTTTCTGTTTTTCACTAGTTTTGCATTTGGCTAGGGCAGTGTTTCTCAACTCCAGTCCTCATGGACCCCCAACAGGTCATGTTTTCAGGATTTCCCTCAGATGAAACAGCTGTGGTAATTACTAAGGCAGTGAAACTGATCAAATCACCTGTACAAAATAATGGAAATCCTGAAAACATGACCTGTTGGGGGTCCATGAGGACTGGAGTTGAGAAACACTGGGCTAGGGTCAGTGTCACTACTGGTAGCATGAGGCAATACCTGGAACCTACAGAGGTTGCACAGGCAGTCCAACTCCTCCAGGATGGCACATGAAAACTTGCCATTCCCAGAAGGTATTCTGTGTCTCCCAGTACAGTCTCAAGAGCATGGAGGAGATTCCAGGAGACAGGCAGTTACTCTAGGAGAGCTGGACAGGGCCTTAGTAGGTCCTTAACCCATCAGCGGGACTCATATCTGCTCCTTTGTGCAAGGAGGAACAGGATGAGCACTGCCAGAGACCTACAAAATGACCTGCAGCAGGCCACTGGTGTGAAAGTCTTTGACCAAACAATCAGAAATGGACTTCATGAGGGTGGCCTGAGGGCCCGACATCCTCTAGTGGGCCCTGTGCTCACTGCCCGGCACCATAGAGCTTGATTGGTATTTGCCAGTGAACACCAGGATTGGCAGGTCTGCCACTGGCGCCCTGTGCTTTTCACAGATGAAAGCAGGTTCACCCTGAGCACGAGATATGTGAAAGGGTCTGGAGAAGCAGTGTAGTACATTATGCTGCCTGTAACATCATTCAGTGTGACTGTTTTGGTGGTGGGTCAGTGATGGTCTGTGGAGGCATATCCATGGAGGGACGCACAGACCTCTAAAGGCTAGGCAATGGCACCCTGACTGTCACTGGGTATCAGTATGAAATCCTTGGACCCATTGTCAGACCCTACAGTGGGTCCTGGGTTTCACCTGGTGCATGACAATGCCTGACCTCATGTGGCGAGAGTATGCAGGCAGTTCCTGGAGGATAAAGGAATTGATACCATTGAATGGCCCCCACGCTTGCCTGACCTAAATCCAATAGAACACCTCTGGGATATCATGTTTTGATCCATCCGACGCTGCCAGGTTGCCCAGTGATGCCCTGGTCCAGATCTGGGAGGAAACACCCCAGAACACCATCCGTCATCTCATTAGGAGCATGCCCTGACATTCTCAGGCATGCACACAAGCACGTGGGATCCATACTAACTATTGAGTATCATTTTGAGTTGCTGCAATGAAATTTCAGCAAAATGGACTAGCATGCTGCATCATTTTTTCACTTTGATTTTCATGAGGTCTTTGAATTCAGTCCTCTTTAGGTTGATAATTTTCATTTCCATCAAACAATGGGGCATGCTTATGTTCCGAACACATTACCCAGTCCATATCAGTATAGATATCCAGTATGATATTTTTCCCCATTGAGATTCTCAGGTGTTTTCAAAGTGTCGCTTAAATTTTTTTGAGCAGTGTATTTTTGGTTTCATCGTATAAGCTTTCATTTGCTGCCTGCCTACCTATTGGGCTTTGACTCAACATAATCAACATAAGCGCTGGGGATTGTGGGCAGAAAATAAAATATAGATTTCAAGTATTAAACCAGCAATATTGTAATTATTTTAATGAATATATATTAAAGAAAGTGATATTTTTTCTGTTCAGCTGAATGTTCTAGTTGCCCTACTTTAAGACACTGACAAATCAGAGGTATGCCATTTTACTGTCAGAGTGAAGCCATGTGAAAAGTAATACATAGCAAGGCAAATGGTGGCATGTCATTTAAGATCAATCCATGAATTGTTACATGTGAGCATATCTGATATAAAGCTTCCCTGTTTTTCACATACTTGAGTTTCAGGTTACTGGTCGGCAGTACACACTTCTTCGGGTTACTGTCCTCTCGGTGTTGTCAGTGATGCTTGAGTTTTCAGTACTGCAATGTAACACTATCTCCTGTTAGAAAAATATTCCACATTAAAGCATTTCATTGTAATGTATATGCTGTTAAATTGCATCCAGCATCAAAATATATATTTTTTTCATATTAATATATATAACTAACCAAAACTTTGGTTTTGATAGAGTGGAGAACGCTCAGAAACCCTGTTGGATATTTACAGCTGTCCAGTGATAAACGACAGAAATTTCCACTAAGGTCTCATTCTCATACTTAAAGAGGAAGTCCAGCCCCCCCCCCCCCCTCCCAAAAAAAAAAACAATTAAAAGTCAGCAGCTACAAATACTTTAGCTGCTGACTTTTAATATAGGGACACTTACATGTCCAGAGGTCCAGCACCAGCATTGCAAGTGAGGGAGACCAGAAGTGAAGCCTTGAGAATTTACAGCCGTTTCCTACTGCGCAGGTGCCTTGAGATTGGTCCTGCAGTCTAATGAGACCTGTGAAGTGTCACAGAAGACTACAGGGGAAAGGACAGGGGCAGGCTCAGTTAGCTGCGGCAAAACCAGGTATCCACTCCCCTCTCTTTTGGGTGACGCTCCCCTTTAAGTCAACACCTACACCAAATTTTGATCCATGTATGGACACTGTGGTTGTACAGAAGGCAAGCTACTCGCCATCTGTACAACTGTCCTGTCGGATTTTAGCCTCCTGATCAGCACTGCAGGCTATAGTCTGCGGAGCTGATCAGTGCATTCTGATGGAAGGGAAGTCACCCCGCTGTCACAATACAATAGCTCAGCAGGAAGATTCCCTCATCCACCTCAAATATGTGGACGGGGGAATCAGATCAATTTTTTTTTTCCATTCAACCCACCAGTTGAATGAAAAATCTGAATCATCTCTGGGCTGCACTACTGATGGAGGACTGTATGTAAATGACAGCCTGCCTAGAAATGCCCACTCCTCTGGAATAACATCCACCCATCAAAGCATTCTGATATTTGCATATCTCCTACAAAAAGTCAGCCCATTGCTTGCATCAGGCCTGAGAGTTCTTGACAGTAGTACTGGGGGAGAGTGCTGTAGTGTTTTTTCAGGAAGTTATGTACAACACCCTGCCAGCCCCTGCCATCAGCAATGATCTGCCTGCATTGCATAGTGAATTAAAGAGACACAGTGATAAAATCACTGGGACTAAAATACGTTATGCAATAAAAACAGAAATATTTTATTTACAAAATTCATTAGCATATTGATGAAGGAAAAGGCAAAATATAATGACTTCTACTGTTTTAATAAAGCAATGGGAGTCATAATTAGTTTATTATTGAGTTCTAATAAGTTCTGTAACAGCGATCCTCCTATAGTTTATGAATGAATAATATGGGGTGGGATATCGGTCTGTCTGCAAAGGTTACAGTCTGAACATTTGCAGACTTGTGCTGCATAAATTAACCCATGCATTCCCTATATGTGTCCAGTCAGAAAATAAACAAAGAGGCTCATGATCAATGAAAAAAGTGTTCACACTGCCTCTTCAGACACACCTTCATTTCTGTCTGTGAAACACTAAGCACTAACTGCACACTTGCCTTGGTCTCAGTTTGTGTGATAATGAGGACCTTAAGCTGCTGAGGTGGCAGAGCAGTTGGAAATATTGTGGATGCACAGGGTAGGACTGCAAAAGACATTCATAGAAGAAGACAAAGGGGGTAGAATGTAAAAAAGTAGCTGAGGGAGGATGAGGAACATGACTACTAGAGAATCAACAGCAACAAATAAAGAAGAGTGGCGAGTGAGGAGATCTAAGGCACAGGAGGAGAAAAGCTGTGCAATCCACTGAGTGACTGAAGGAGGAGAGTCAATGGCAGGAGGAATTTTTAGCCCATTAGAAGCACCCATGCAGGCTTCCCAATGTGACGAACATGGCACTAAAACAGAACCTGGCTTTTATTAACTGTAAGATATGTAGGGCTGAAAGTCGTTTAAATCAAGAACACACACCAAAAGGGAAAGCCGCGAAAACCTGAATCCTGCAGACCTTGGCACTATTATTTTTTTTATGTTACAGGAAAAAGTAGGAAATATCTTTAATCCTACCTGTTCTGCAAGCGTTGGTGCACCCTCTTCAGATATACTGTCCACTAAATCTCCTACTGCAGCAGCATCATTTCCTTTATGTGTAGCCTCAACCATTGTCATTTCATTATTCAATATATCCTCAATGTCCTCATCACTGTCCTCCTGCTTTATATTAACAGGAGTTGGTGGGAGAACAGCTAGGAACCCAGGAATGGTAAATGCAGAGAGGAATCGTTGCTTGATATGCTGGTAAGCCAAATTGTCCTTAAGCCTCTCTTCCACCAGATCACTGAGAGTCACTTTCATTTGCAGTGAGCTAACCTCTGTGATGTCTGAGAAGGGCAGCAATTTAAAAGCATTCTCTTCCAAAGTTGTTTTCTCTAACAGAAGTCTTGAAAAAGTTTTAAGAGTGCAAATAGAAGGAGGCAAATAAGGAAGAGCCATTTTTTGCTTAGATACTTCTACCCTTTGCTTTCCTTGAATCCATTTATTCACACTTGTCTCTTCTTCTAATGAGATGAGTTTCACATCTAAAATATTCTTTTGAGGGTTAGTGGTCTGATTAGTGATGTTTGGTACAGGACTGTTCTGTGGATCACTTGTCACATTTGCTGTATCCTCTTTGGGAAGACTTGTCGGTAAAAGTTTAGCGATTTTAACAATAGGATATTTTTGTGGTGTGAGTTTAAACTGACTTGCTTTGTCGGGAAGCCCTGGAGCAAGAGCAAACTTTGGCAAACAAGTGCTTTCCAGCTGTGGTTGGCTTGTAACTGAAGAGGCCTCTGAAGTACCTCTTTGTCTTAAGGAGCTTGTAACAACAGGTAACATCTGAGGCAGCACTGCAGAAGACTTGGATGGGGCAAGTATTGGCAAATGAGAACTGGTCTCCTTTTTAAAGCTTGCATCCTGTGAAAATGCTGTTGTGTCCACTGGTGTTAAAGCACTTGTGACAGGAGGCAAAATATGACATGCCACCTTAGACGCAGAAGATGGCGTAAGACTGGGCAAACAAGAATCAGTCAGCCGTGGTTGGCTTTTAACTAAGGCATTCATGTCAGTACCTTCTTGTCTTAAGGAACTTGTAGTGGTAGGCAACATTTGGGATGGCATTTTTGAAAACTCAAATGAAGCTGGCGTAGACAAACATGTTCCCACCACTAAATGACTACTAACAGAGGTTGTAGCCACGTCTTCATGCCTTATAGAACTTGTAATAGTAGGTAAAGCAACAGATGGCATCTTGGAACCTTCAACTGGAGCAATTGTTGGAGCAAACATTGTCAGTTGAGTGCCAGATACTTGAGGATAATTAACAATGGAAGAAGATATTACAATGCTTTGCTGTATTTTAGAGCTAGTGGTGGCAGGCAAAGGTTGGGCTGGAGCACACAAAGTATCTAATTGTGCATTTGAGACTCTACTGTTAGACGATTCAGTTACAAAAGTCCCAGTGGCTGCAGTATTCAATGGTGTGCTTACACTTCTGGGCTTCTGGTTCCCTGATTGAAGGGTTAAACTAGAACACGATAAAGCCTGAGTTGGAATTGAAATCAAACCTTGAGGAGTAACCAGAAAAGTCACAGGAAGCGCATTGAGGCTTGGTGCAGGGAATACTGCTCTGGGCAGTAGCGTAACTTGATGAGGCATTGGCTGAGGTGATGGTGGAACACCAGATGACCTAATCTGAACAGTTCTTTGAGCACTAGCATTTTGGGGAACTGGTACACTTCCTGTAGGGTCTGCTACTAGTCTGCCAATGGGTCTACCACTGACCAGTGACATCTGATTGGAAGAAACATTGTTTGCTGTTACAACCTGGCATGCTGGCATAGGAGAAAAGGGCCTAATGGGCCAGGAGTTATTCTGTGAAGTAGTTGGAGCCACAGGCAACACCATAGTCTGAGGTCGTACTGTTGGGTTCACAGGCTGTTGGATCATAATTTGTGGTGGAACCAGGATATTTCGAGACATTACTGTGGTGCTTTGAACAGTTTTCGTGACATTTGTTTTTTTCGCATTCTTTTTTCTCTTAGCAATTCAGAGACGGTTTTCAGCTTAGGGGCTGGCACATCAGATCTCACTCTGGGAATTTTGGGTGTGGAATGGCGACATTTCTGTGGGGGTGGTGATGTGATTTCTGTTATTTGGGGAATCACAGGATCGGATTTCTGGTCATTAAAAGATTGCACTGCAATTAAAAGAAAAGAGCAAATATAAGAATTATATATTTGTCTTACTGGCAAAATAGAGATTTTGGCTGTATGTACATTGATTTTTTTTTTTTTAAATATGAAAAGTCAAGAACCTCTTGTAGCCTAAACCTAGCCCCTGACGGGCCAATGTGTCTCTGGGCATTGGCAATGAGAAATCCATTGCATTACCAGATCCAGCATCTGCTTCTTATGTGACACTCCCAATGGATAGAGGTATTGTAGACTCTGTTATCAACTTCCTCATCTAGAACACTGGGATTTGGCAACCACTTGGATTTTTCATGTGCAATAAACAAGTGGTGGTCCTAAACAGCCCGATTCTGATAGACAGATGCTCTAGGCCAGTGATGGCGAACCCGTGGCACGCGTGCCACAGCCGGCACGCCGAGCCTTATCTGTGGGCACGCCAGGAGAATACCGTATTTTTCGCTCCATAAGACGCACTTTTTTTCCCCCAAAAAAGGGGGGAAAATGTCAGTGTGTCTTATGGAGCGAATATAGAGCGGCCGGTCCGGTATTTCCACCGCCGCCGTGTCAGAATACCGGGCCGGCCGCTCAGCTCTGCAGTGGGACCTTACCTGTCCCTCTATCCAGCGGCGCGCTGTCTTCCCGGCTTCTGTAGTGTGCGTGACAGCCGGGTCCCAAGTGCGCATGCGCAAGAAGCAGTGCTCTTTGTGAATGGTAAGGCGGTACCTGGGACACATGACAGATCCCAGAAGCCGCCGGACCAATCACAAAGCGCAGCGCTTCTCGCGCATGCGCACTGGGCATCCGGCTGTCCGACGAGCGCCCACACTACAGAAGTCGGGAAGACAGCGCGCGGCTGGATAAAGGAACAGGTAAGATAAAAAAAAAACTCTGCGGAAGTAAGAGCGGGTACCTGTCAAATTCAGGTACCCGCTCCCCCTCCCTCCCCAAAGGTCAGCAGTCATCTGTACTGTCCGCAGTCTCTGGTCATCCCTGTGCTTTCCGCAGTCTCTGGTCATCTCCTGTACTGTCCGCAGTCTCTGGTCATCCCTGTACTGTCCGCAGTCTCTGGTCATCCCTGTACTGTCCGCAGTCTCTGGTCATCCCTGTACTGTCCGCAGTCTCTGGTCATCCCTGTACTGTGTCCGCAGTCTCTGGTCATCCCTGTACTGTCCGCAGTCTCTGGTCATCCCCTGTACTGTGTCTGCAGTCTCTGGTCATCTCCTGTACTGTGTCTGCAGTCTCTGGTCATCTCCTGTACTGTGTCCGCAGTCTCTGGTCATCCCTGTACTGTCCGCAGTCTCTGGTCATCCCTGTACTGTGTCCGCAGTCTCTGGTCATCCCTGTACTGTCCGCAGTCTCTGGTCATCCCCTGTACTGTCCGCAGTCTCTGGTCATCCCCTGTACTGTCCGCAGTCTCTGGTCATCCCCTGTACTGTCCGCAGTCTCTGGTCATCTCCTGTACTGTGTCTGCAGTCTCTGGTCATCTCCTGTACTGTGTCCGCAGTCTCTGGTCATCTCCTGTACTGTGTCTGCAGTCTCTGGTCATCCCTGTACTGTGTCCGCAGTCTCTGGTCATCCCTGTACTGTGTCTGCAGTCTCTGGTCATCCCTGTACTGTGTCTGCAGTCTCTGGTCATCCCTGTACTGTGTCTGCAGTCTCTGGTCATCCCTGTACCGTGTCCGCAGTCTCTGGTCATCTCCTGTACCATGTCCGCAGTCTCTGGTCATCCCTGTACTGTCCGCAGTCTCTGGTCATCCCTGTACTGTTAATTAGTTTGCACTACTGCATGAGTTGTTTTTTCTAAACCAAAAGCTCGATATTCAGGTTTCACTGCAGTGTTGGCACTTTGAAAGAAATAAGTTGGTTTTGGGTTGCAGTTTGGGCACTCGGGCTCAAAAAGGTTTGCCATCACTGCTCTAGGCCATCTTATCGTGGAGAGGGATCGGGCTGTACAGAATATCATGTAATGAACACAATCACACAAGATGTCACTAGATCAAGTAGTTCCCAACCACATGGCTCTACAAACCATACACTTGTATCTATGCCTCCCACTAGATTTGCTTGGCAAGCCTGCATAGTGACATATACTGGATGTAGACATAAACACATACATACCCAAAATGCTCTTTGGTGACAAGGGAGCCTACAAAAATCAGAACAAAATGTAATAAATTCTAGTGCAGAATAGCTATAAATTACAACATAGTAATTTAAAGGACAATACAGTCATTTTATCTGCATATGTTACAAATATTTAACTGTCTGTCAAACTTTATTTGGTTTCAATAGTAGAGATAGTTATACACTACCCCCCCCCCCCCCCCCCCCCTCCACTCAAATAGTATAAACTGCAGCTTCTGATCGAAATTATAAGGAAATGCTGGCCAAGGAAAGCATATACTTGTCTTGTTTCCCTGTGCTCTTTTATGCTGCCAGAAGCAAATAAAGGAAACAATGTGCAAACCCCACATCACAACTTGGGCTTATACAGACCTGAGCACTCTCTCACATGACAGTGCAGGCTACTGGAGCCTGTCACCAGGCATCAGTGCTGTCATGTGGGAAGGAAAGAAGGTGGGTTACATGCTCCTGACACCAGGAAGTAAGGAATAGTTTTTCTTTGCTCCCAGTGGCTGAATGGAGTGGAAGGAAGTGAAGGAAAGGTGTAACTGTAATTGGACCATAGCTGGTAGGAACAGAGTTGACAACCCATGGCTGAGCTCATGGAGTGGGGTGTGCAGATCTGAGAAGTGAACCTGTGAAATATGCAAAACATCCGATATAGGTTATGCACACAATATTCTATACAACCATTTGAAGAACATGGTTCTGTTATAGTTATTACTCTGCAGCTAAATTCTAAGAGATAATTACCTTTGTCACAACATTCTTTGCAGCACAAACACAAAGAGTGAAAATTACAAATGAGCTCCAAAACACAAATTATTTGATGAAATCTACGTTAAAGTGTATAGCCACAATTGTTTTATTGTTAATTTTGGATGAAATTAAGAAGAGATAGAAACATTATTATTTTTCTGCTGCTGAGAACAGGGGACACCTGTTCAAGTGACAACCAGAGGGGATTTTCCTTCACTTGTGGAAATCTTCTCTTACTTTGTGTTGTATGTGTATATATATATATATATATATACACACATACATACATACACACATATATATACACTGTGACAGGATGAACGGCGAGGTGATAGAGGGACGCTATGTGTCACCTCGCATATGCTCATACCTGACAGTTTAGGTGGAGTCCACTCTGGGTTTTCGGGGCCACAGTTAAGCAGGTGGGTCCGGACCGGAGTTTGGGCTCCACTGATGACCACCAACAGGTGATATAAAAAGGGCAGGGCTGGAGCAAGGAGTCGCTCGTGGCCTGGGACTCAGAGAGGTATTCTGAGAGAGCTGTGTGTGTACTATACCTACAAGAAAAGCTTTTGTTTTGTTTTTGGTGACAGGGAGAAGCCCTTCACCTCTGAGAGAGGACACGTCTTCTGTTTAGTTAGTGCCTGGATGGCAAGGGTTTATTTTGATGTTTTGTTTATTTTGATATTTTCTGCAAACCTTTTAAATAAAGCTGACAACCAGTCAGATTTTGACAAAAGCCTGCTGTGCGGTCCACCTTTGTCCCAGGGAAGGAGATCCCCCACCTGAGCTAACCCCACATATGGTGGAGGATGCGGGCAACTTCCTGAGCAAGTGGGAAGATGGAGGAAATAATAAGAGCCTTACTGCAGGCCAATGCAGTACAACGGGAGACAAATCACCAGTTTTCGGAAGCCCAACAAGCAGACCGAGAGCTCCTTAAGCAGGTGGCCCAACACCTATTAGAATTAAAGAAGGAATCTGTAGATCCGCTGCCAGTGGAGCAGAAAATGGCACAGGCCAGCTATGTTTTGCAGAAGATGACACCTGCGGATGATGTGGAGGCCTACCTCACAACTTTTGAAAGGGTTGCTGTTCGGGAAGGATGGAAAAAGGAGCAATGGGCAGGACTGCTTGCAACATTTTTGACAGGTGAATCCCAAAAAGCCTATTATGACCTGGAACCAGGGCATGCCCAGGACTATGAGAAACTGAAGGCTGAGGTCCTTGCACGCCTGGGCGTCACCATTGCAGCCCGGGCTCAGCGGGTGCATCAGTGGCATTACAGGGCTGACAAACCACCCAGATCTCAGATGTTCGATTTGATACATCTCTCCAAAAAGTGGCTCCAGCCAGAGGTATTGTCAGGCCCTCAGATTGTGGAGCGTGTGGTCATGGACCAATATTTGCGTGCACTCCCTGCCACTTTGAGGAAGTGGGTCGGCCATGGAGACCCTAAATCTGCAAACGAGCTAGTGGACCTGGTGGAGAGATATGCAGCTGCTGAGGATTTTTTTCATTCACCTGGGCCGTACCCCAAGGTCACTAGGGGTGGAAAACTATCCGGAGGATCCGGTAAGACTGTTCCATGGGCCAAAGGCTCAGAAAAAAAACAATAAGACTATTGTGTCAGATAATGAGACTGTAGGCTTAGGACCTAGAGACTGGCCAAATAGGTCAAGAAGGTCCCCAAAGCCATTTAGAGGTTTAGGTACTGAACATATCAAATGTTATCGGTGTCATGCGTTAGGTCATATTGCTGCAAACTGTCCTTTAAATGATGAACCTATGCAATGTGAAAATGCTTATTTAGGAAAACGCATGTCTCTTTTTGCACAGGTGGTATGTACTGCAGCATGTCAGAAACGCATGGAAAAGCAAATGTGTGTGATTGCCATTGATGAAAAGCCAGTAACTGCTCTGCTAGACTCGGGTAGTGTTGTGACCTTAGTTAAGAATGATTTGGTAAACCCTGCAAGCTTACACCCTAGCACGATTGGGGTTATTTGTATTCATGGTGATACACGTAATTATCAGACTGCTCTGGTGGAGATTGATACTCCCTGGGGCCCTGTGACCCATTCTGTTGGGGTGGTGCCCTCTCTGCTTCATGAAGCCATAGTGGGGAGAGATTTTCCCCATTTCTGGAAGTTATGGGATAAGGAGGGGAGTCAGGAGGACCGAGCTCCCCCTGCTGGGGAAACACTGAAAACTCCTGAACTCACTCCTGACCCCTTTGACGGCAAGGTGGAAGGGGAAACTGTTGGTGTGTCCAAGGAAGGTGTAGACCTTTTTCCTTTCTCTGTAATGGCTGGGGAGCAGGAGGGGTTGGATCCAACCCCAGACATTGAGGATACGGAACAAGAAATTATCTCGGGTTCTAGTGGGAGTGGACAGAATGTCGTGCCTGACCTGGAGGTCAGAAAGGAGGATTTCTGTACAGAACAGCTGAAAGATTCCACTCTTAATAGAGCCAGAGAAAATAATAAAATGGTTGATGGGGAGCCAGTTGAAAATGATGTAGGGGTGTCTTTTCCCTACATGGCTCTCAAAAATAACTTGCTATACCAAGTGGTAAAGCAAGGGGAGGAGGTGGTAGAACAGTTAGTGGTCCCCAAACCCTTTCGCCGGATGGTACTAGATTTAGCCCATGGGCATATAATGGGTGGACACCTGGGTGTAGAGAAAACAAAGGAGAGAATAACCCAGAGATTCTTTTGGCCAGGCTTACATGGAGACGTCAAAGCGCATTGTGAGTCATGCCCGGAATGTCAATATTCTGCGCCCTCACCCCATTTTCGCAGTCCGCTAGTACCTCTACCCATAATTGAAGTACCGTTTGAAAGAGTGGGCATGGACCTAGTGGGTCCAGTAGTAAAGTCTGCCCGGGGCCATCAGCACATACTGGCTATATACTTGACTATGCCACCCTGTATCCTGAAGCCATCCCCTTGCGAATACCTCCGCTAAAAATATCGCCAAAGAGCTTGTCCGGTTGGTTTAGTCGTGTAGGTATTCCAAAGGAGATATTAACGGATCAGGGCACGCCATTTATGTCTAGAGTTATGAAAGAGTTATGCAAATTGTTCAAAATCTCCCATCTCCGTACCTCGGTCTACCACCCCCAAACCGATGGGCTTGTGGAAAGGTTTAACAAGACCCTTAAGAATATGTTAAAAAAGGTGGTGGACAAAGATGGGAGAAATTGGGATTTTTTGCTACCATATCTCATGTTTGCTATACGAGTAGTACCTCAGGCATCTACAGGATATTCACCTTTTGAATTACTGTATGGTAGACATCCCCAGGGATTGCTAGATGTTGCAAAAGAAACCTGGGAGACAGAGTCCACACCCTATAGAAGTGTCATCGAGCATATCTCACAGATGCAGGATAGAATCGCAGCTGTCATGCCACTTGTTCGGGAACACATGGAGCAAGCCCAGGAGGTCCAGAGAAGGGTTTATAACCGGGGTGCCAGGATCCGTACCTTCAACCCTGGGGATAGAGTGCTGGTGCTAGTCCCCACCATGGAAAGTAAATTCCTCGCAAAGTGGCAAGGTCCCTTTGAAATTAGGGAGAAAGTGGGGGAAGTAAATTATAAAGTTTTACCAGCCAGGGAAAAGGAAACCCGAACAAATCTATTATGTTAATCTCTTAAAACCTTGGAAAGACAGGGAAAGTTTGTTGGCAGTACCAAGCCCCCAAAAGGACGTAGTTCCCGTGGTCCCTCAGGTACCTATAACGGAAACCTTGTCAGTAGCCCAACAAAATGATGTTAAGGAGTTTGTGAGGAAAAATGGAGATTTCTTCTCTCACCTACCTGGACTGACGACGCTCATACAGCATGACATAGTTACCCCAGCCCGGGGTCCGCGTAAATGTCAAGCCCTATAGAATACCCGAGGCCAGGTGGGAAGCGGTGGCAAAGGAAATAAAGGACATGTTAGAGTTGGGAGTGATTGAGGAATCTCACAGTGAGTGGTCGAGTCCCATAGTGTTGGTCCCAAAACCAGATGGAACAATTCGTTTCTGTAATGATTTCAGGAAACTGAACAGTGTGTCTAAGTTTGATGCGTACCCGATGCCTTGGGTGGATGAGCTCATTGACAGGTTGGGAACGGCTCGGTACATAACCACCTAGATCTGACCAAAGGCTATTGGCAGATTCCTTTAACGGAAGCTGCAAAAGAAAAGACGGCATTCTCCACCCCCGAGGGGTCCTTTCAGTATAAGCGGATGCCGTTTGGTTTGCATGGGGCT